TGTCTGACCAGGTGGCTGACATAACAGCTAGCTGGTAGGTGACTCAGGCACTGGCTATCTGGGTAGGTGACTCACATGCAGGCTGTCTGACCAGTTGGCTGACATAACAACTAGTTGGGTAGGCGACCTCAGGTACCGGCTATCTGTAGGTGACTCAGGTACCGGCGTTCAGGGTAGGTGACTCACATGCAGGCTGGTTCCGGACCAGGTGGCCGACATAACGGCTATCTGGTAGGTGACCCAGGTAATTGGCTATCTGGGTAGGTGGACTCATGCAGGCCGGGTTCGACCAGGTGGCCGGACATGTAACAGCTAGTTGGGTAGGCGACTAATGTACAGGCTATCCAAAGGTGGTGACTCCAGGTACCGGCTATCTGGCTAGGTGACTCAATGCACCGGATATCTGGGTAGGGGTGATTGTGGGATTCACCTTTTTTACTCATTTGTTGTATGTAATAATGGCAATGACATGTAGGTTGCTCTTGAACTCCGGTCTTGGCTATGATCAACGTGGAAAAGGTACTGTAATTTCGCTATAATCTGAGTGTGTTAGGACTCCTCAAACCAGCGATGTGAGCATGGGTAGGGTAAATGCCGAACACTCTGCTGCAGTAGTTAGATGACTCGTGGGCTTTAGTCATGACACAATAAGCAAATGTGTGACGACAGCCACCGCTAGCAAACAAGTTGGAGATAGGTAGAGTGTACACAGCAATCAACTGTGTACAGCAGGTATCCACCTTAGTGACCACAGACAGGTGACATTTCATGGTGGGCCAGTCTTACACAGATCCACAGACATTTCAGAATCAACCGAGAAAGTTGAACAGGATAGTCTTCAGTAAACAGTCAGGCTTCATGTTGCGCTTCATATACATTTTGTAATCAAAAGGTGACACTTAAATTGACACTCAATCATTTGATTGATGTATTTATGTTCAGGATGCCGTAACTTGGGTGCGGCGTCATGAAATAAAATATGTACACTATGCAAAGTGTATGCACAAGGGGCGCTTGTATGTCATCGTATCCCAGTTGCGTAGATCGATGCTCATGCTGTTGATCAGTGGATTGTCTGGTCCATTATTTACAGATTGTCACGCCACATAGCTTAAATATTGCTGAGTGTAGCGCAAGACTTAACTCACTCACTCACCTCACTTTACGAACAGCATTGGCATCTCTGAGTTTCAGTGGTCCTTTCAGGATCAGTTCAGGTCTATGGCGCCGTTAAATGGATAATCAAAGCTGATCATTCACTATCAGCTATGTCCCACACAAGGAGGTTTGGGATTTAGCTAATCCGTGTAATTGTTGCTTTGCCTGTCTAAAAATCCTTATCAACCTGTCAACAAAATGATTACACAATGCCATTTAGAAAGTGGTCAAATGTAACATGTGTTATATGTTACCTGGGTGTCTGGGTGTTATACCCTTCCTCCCTAGGCAATCTGTCTCATCCAATCTGGTTCTGGGGATGATGTAGCTAAGATGGATAGTCAAAGATAAGTCCGGTATGGTGTTCAAGTCCTGTTTATTTTGGCATGAATTCTTTCACAAAGGTCCTCAGATATTTCCTAGCTTTCCTGGTTTACATGCAACACAGATTCACAAATCCCCGAAGAACTTGTTGTTTCTTGCACAACTCCTAAAGTTACAATTTCATCTGAGCCATTCTCTCAATATACAGAGAACCTCTACAGGTTATACTACACTAAATGAGAATCGCTTGCTCACTGAGCGAGGGAAGCGTATGTAAACAAATGAAGACATAGAGACATGTGACAGCTGTGATTGGATTAAATAGTGTAAGATGTTTATGTTTTTTAAAAGCATATCCAACCAGCAATTAAAACTGACCACAATTTTAAGTATTCAGTGCTGTCATTTTCATCACCATGACATATGCTTATTGTGTGTACAGATATTTTCCAGTAGGTGACATTTGGTGCAGAACTGGGGTTGATGTGTTCCGCTTCCTGTCCTCGCAAAACAAGCCGGACAAGTTGGCCTGATATTGTGTTTTATTTTAGTTTAAAGGCCAGAGTGTACACATGTGTACATGGAATGGCTGTTGATAGCTTGTCTATTTTTAAAAAAATGATAAGGTTACTATAGAAGTCTATGGGAAAACATTTGGTGGTGTGTAACCTGTAGGGTTCGAGCACTTTTCAGTAATTCATACTTTACATGATTTCCTGTGTTTATTTCACCATGGAAACATGTTAGCATTAATGTAGAAGCAAATTTAAAGGTACTGGGAGTAAAGATAGGGCTGTTTTGAGTGGAATAGATTGTTTTAGTGTCCAGAATATGAACGTTGCTTCGTTTTGTGGTCGAACAGTGGGAAAAGACCCTCACGGTGAGTCTTTCCATCAAGTAGTGGTTCCCTGGCTTCTAAATTTGTTGGAACTGATGAATTTGACAACAAATTAGGTTAAAATCACCATTGCCACAACAATGTGAGTGTCTAAGTTAATCTCCTGAGGGTCAATTTGAAGTCAAATGATAAGAATATCATGAAATATACTGAACCGCAAAGAAACGCAAGTTACTATTTTCAAAACATACGTTCCAAATGCATTCCTTTTAGGACAACAAAGTATACCATTATAGAACTAAGCATTCGAAGATGGTTTTGCCTTTGTTGCCGCTGATTCTTGACCATATCGCCCAAACGCAATCATTTTCATGTTTTTCGTGTTTTGCATGAAGTTGTTGTGTTTCACACAAAATGCGAGCATTTCACTCCAGTTTGAAGCTTTATAAGGCAGGTCATTCAAAAAAACACCATAGAACACAAAACTGACTGTGACAACGCGGAGAAAACATGCCACGTCTAACTGAACAGCAACGATGAATCGCCGTTGGAATGTTGCAGACCGGATCCACACCAACTAAAGTGGCCAGGCACTTCAGATGTCACGTGACAACAATCACAAGACTATCCGCAAGGTATCGTCAAACCGGTAATGTTCCAGACCGACCACGTTCAGGACGTCCCAGGGTAACAACGCCAGCGCAAGATCGTCACATCCGGGTTACTCATCCGCATAACCGACAGCAACGAGCAACACAGACAGCTGCAACCATTCAAGGGCCACAACGTCACATCTCTGCACACACTGTTCGTCGTCGTCTGAGGGCAGCAGGGATGAGCTGTCGCCGTCCTTACGTCGGACCGATTCTGAAGCAACGTCACCGCCAAAATCGTTTACAGTGGGCGCGACAACACCACCGTTGGCGACGTCAACAATGGCAACAAGTGTTGTTTTCTGATGAGTCCAGATTCAACTTGTCCCACGCCGACGGCCGATAACGTGTATGGACACGACGTAATGAGCGTTACGCCAACTGTTGTGTTGTGGAAGCTGACCTCTGGGGAGGTGGAAGACTCATGGTATGGGGTGGCTTCAGCTACCACCACAGAACACATGTTTACACGTGTTTCGTCAACGTGTGACTGCTCTAGTCTACAGAGACCAGGTCTTTCAACACCACGTTGTACCGCTCTTCCAGGCCCAACCTCAGCTCCAGACGTTCCAGCAGGACAATGCTCGTCCTCACAATGCACGGGTCTCTATGGACTTCCCAGAGGGAACAACATTGCTGTACTGCCCTGGCCCACTTCTGTCCTCGGATATGGCACCAATCGAGCATGTGGGGATGAAATTGGTAGACGGATACAGACAGCTGCTCAACCTCAAATCCTTAGAGATTTGGAAGCCAGATTGGCAGGGAATGGAATCAAATTCCCCAAGCCTTCTTTCAGACACTTGTTGACTTGATGAGACGTCGTTGTGCTGCCTGCATTGCAGCCAATGGTGGTCACACGCGCTACTGATTGACACACTGTTTCGTGACATTTTGGTGTGTGAGGGTGGAGTGATAACATATGCTTTTACAGTAAACTTGAGTGTTGTTTTCACCAGAGATCACGACTCATTTCTTCAACAATCACTTGTCTGTTGTTTTTTCGTAGTGTTAAGATTGTTTGTTCCACAGATTCAGAAATATTCACCTTTCTAAATAAACTTGCGTTTCTTTTGCGGTTCAGTATATGTTCACTGCTGACAGCAGAACATGTCACAAACCCTTGTTTTAAATGCAAACAGTGTAGCATATGATCAATTCTTTCTGCCTCTCCCCTTTTGAATATGCAACGACCTAATTTTCTTTTCTTTTTGTAAAAATATACCCCTTTTTTCACCCATAAGACTTTCAAAATGAATTTCTGTTTTATTAACAACTCGTCGCCTGAAAACCAGAGTGTTCTAAGTCCACTTTTGACAAAATGAGTTAGTATGCTCAGGGTAGGTTTTAGAGCATAATCTATTACTCTAGCAACTTTTACAGTGCTATCCAGCTTTGAAAGTTGTTTTCAAACAGAAACTTTGTTCTATCTCCAATTTTGAAGTGATTGTCATCATGGAAATGGAACATTTTAACACTGTTCTTATTTCTGCTTTATCTAATTAAATATAGTCCTCATGAAAGAAAAACAGGTTTAGTACAACCTGGTAAAATGGAAATAACAATCAAATATCGATATAATAATAATAAAGCTAGGTTTTAGCTGTGTTTTTTGACACTTAGAACACTTTGGTTTTGAGAAAAATCACGATTTTCTTTGGTCAAGTGTTCTATCTCCAATCATTTTTCGTGAATTTCTTATTTACTTCAATAGATTGAGCATATAATTTGATATCTTCTGATCCTGTTTAACATGTCACATGCATGTGCAAAATTTGAAAGAATTCGATTGAAAAGTGAAGAAGATATTGTTGTCCTAAACTTCAAGATCGAATTTCTCGAAAATAGTTTTTTGTGACTTAGTACACTCTGGTTTTCAGGCGACGAACTGTCTCATTGCTGTTATAGATTTTATGATTTGACATTTAATGTAATCTCAACACTATTTTCAGCTTGTAGAATGCCTGTTGGTGAATGGGAGGTGTATCTTCACAAATACAGCAGAAAAGAAGCTGTCACATCAATGTGGTATTTCGACATGCCGGCCGAAGTCTGTTGTTGACAGTGTCTAATCAAGCATACTCCTTTGCTTCAATATGCTTCAACGCCTTGTAGAAGTTGCAGTACTTGGACATGTAGGTACATATATAGTACATTTAAGTGTCCCAGTCCAGTTAAGGCACCACAATGTCTCACTACCAAATTCCATCACTCGGTCATCCTCATACATTAGAAATTTCTGACAGTGTCCCCTTAATGCCTCAGTGTGTAGGATTTCAGCTTCCCAGACATGAAATAAGGGCTGTACATCAATCCCAGAAGCTGCTTAGATGTAAATAATAATAACTGACCCTTGTGGAATGTAATATTATGGGTCTGAATTCACATTTTATTGACATGAGAGTGTTCGATATCTTAAAATTATCTGCCCTGTTTACCCAAATACATTGTGTCTTTCTCTAATCCAGTAACCCATAAATTACTGCAGAAGCTCTGTTTTAGCTGATATTGCCAAATACTGTTAATTGTAATTAAAAATATTCAGTTTAGGGCAGGGTAACCAATAAATTTCCAAAGTTATGTGGATTTTTTCACTTTGTTCCCTCTAAACTGGCTTATACATGAAATTGGCAAGTGTAACAGCCTCAAAACAATACACAGTCAATAGTTTTGAATTTCTGGAAGTATTTCAAAGTCTTAGCTTGATTAATCAATAGATTCAAGTGTAAGTTCTTATCATGCTGTGGTCTAAAAGGGATTTCATCTGTTTAAGGGGTCATTTGCCTTGATCGACTAACAGGCGGCAGGGTACTGTGGTCAGTGTTTCAGACTGCTAGGCATAATCCAACCCCTCACTTATTACATTCTGGCAAAGTTCATCATCCAGCCTTACATATGTCAGGATGTTAGAGCTGCTTAATGTTAAACCTGTCCATTCTTCTTCAAAGAGATCGTCCTTGGGGTACATATTATGCATTTTCCGAGCTGAAAATGTCCTGTGACAGTTGTATCAATGTTTTTTGAATAAAAAGATTGAACAATAAATAAACTCTTTTATTTATTATACGGCCCCTACCTCACGGAGTTACCTCCCTTAGCGCATGCGCACCAACTGGGTAGGCTTCTAGACCCGTATCATCTTTCCTTCTGCTGTCACTGCCATGAACAGACGTGCCGTTGAGACTTCATGAGCCGGACACAGCTGACCTTTCTTACAAAGAAATTGACTATGTCTCAAACACCACCTGTATGTATGGTCTTTATTTGCCTATGAAAAAGAACAGTAAAGCTTTACAGTTGGTTGTTTCATAATTGTGACTTGTATTAATTCTAAATACGCGAACTTTCCCGTGGTTTACGCACGTGTTGCTCTGCCATGGCGGGAAGTTTAGCGTGCGATGTGGTCGTAATATTGCGTATTAAAACCAACTATTACTTTCCGTGGTAACCTTCACGTATTTTTCAATGTTTTCTACGTGTTTATATGCTGCTGGCCGCCGTTAGCTACATGCTTGCGTGTTTGCTTTCAGGCCTTTTCATCCTGTTCGGTCTGTGGGCAAAGTATTCCACGGGCCGACAGGCATGAGCAATGCGTTGCCTGTCTTGAGAAGACAGGCCACGAGGCTGACACTTGGGTTTTCCCCCCGGGCCCAAAAGAGGAGGGCGGCCGATACGCTTTTCTACCGGGAGATGCGTGAGGCGGGTGGGGAACTGACCCAGGTCCCCCCCCCCCGTCTAAGACGAAAAAGCAGTCTAAAAAGGGAAAAAAATCCCGTGGCCAAACCCCCTCTCCCGCCAGTACTGGTGGCTTTGACATGTCGATAATGGAAACCTTATTTCAGCAGCATATGGACTCTGTGAAGTCCCTCGTTCGTGAGTCAGTTGGAGGTCTCCGGCAGGAGTTCCTCGCTCACTCCGGACGGGGGGCGGAGAGTCAGGGGGTGGGATCGCCGGGCTCGGCTCGATCCCTCAGCCTTGAGGCGTCTGTAGACCCGTTGCCTTTGGCTTCGGGTCCGGACGCCTCGGCTGCCCCGGAGGGGGAGGTGCTCCCAGTCCCCCTCTCGGAGTTGGCGCAGGGACCGTTGAGTATTCCTGGTGTTCCGGTCCCTGCGCACTCCTCGCCATGAGCGCGGAGGCACCAGTTCTGCCTGGTCTGCCTCCAGCGTCTCGGGACCGGGGTCCGTGCACGCCTGCTGGCGCCGACGTGGAGCACTCTGTCTGCTCTTCCCTCTCCGTGCTTCCTACTGCTAGGCAGCCCACCGGGTCGGGGTTAGGGTCCTCTTTCGGAGGAGACCCAGCCTCTGACTCGGGCTCGGGCGCCGAGTCTATGGAGCTTGGGGAGGTTGAGGAGCATGACGGAGGCTTCCGTTTTGCTTCGGCTCTGCGGGAGGTCCGGCAAAGAATTGCCGAGGGCCTACCCCAAGCCGCGGTGCCTGTTGGTTGCTCGGACTCGGCTGAGTTCCGCTTGCCAGGCGAGGCGTTTGCCCCTCGGCAGCCTACGCAGACGCAGCTCCGCATTCTGCCTTCGTTGGTCTCGGATGTGGTTGATCCCCTCTTGTCTGGCACCCGAGTCCGGTTTGACTTACCAGATCTCGTGCGGCGCTACCAGCTTGGGGAGGACTCCCTGTTCGTAGTCCCCATCGTTGACGAGTGCGTGTTCACTTCCGTAGCCCTGGGGGGAGGCTCGGCTTCCTCCGGAGCAGTTCCGACTGCTCGGCAAGGGCGCCTCACTCCACCTTTTGCCCTCGCGGGCGCCCCCCTGCAGCACGCGTACCGGACCTACGAGGAGGTCTACCGGAACGCGATGCAGCAGGTCAGGGTGGTGGTCCACGAGGCCTACCTCTCCTCGATTCAGAGGTCGGCCCTGGAGGCGGAGGGGCATGCTGGCGACGTCTCGCCGCATGTCGTGCTGCTCCGTCAGCTCTCGGAAGTGCAGGCCCACCTCGCGCGCGACTCTTTGCGGTCTGCAGCGTCGACGGTGATGTGCGCAGTTATGGGGATGCGCAGGCTGTGGCTGTCGATGTCTAGGTACTCGGCAGCGACACAGCAGACCTTGCTGGCCCTCCCTTTCCGTCTGGGAGCGACCCTCTTTCCAGGGGCACAACAGGTCATTCGGGAGGCTGCCGCTGCAGCTACCTCCTTCAAGGACTCTAAGGCCTTGTTGGAGCAACCGCGGGGTGTCTCGCCCCCGCGCTCCCGTTCCACCTTCCTCCGCCGGGGTGCAGCCTACACCCGAGTCTGCTGGCTGGCTTCGGCCGCTTGGTAGGGGTAGGCAGAGGCATAGGTCCGCCAAGGGTAGGGGCAAGGAGCAGTCCTCGACTAGCTCCCAGCCTTTTCGCGGGCGTGGGAGGTCTGCCCCGACCTCCCGTTAACCCATCAGGCTGCCGCTCAAGCCGTGTGTCACACCCAGTCAGCTCCGCTACTCGGGTCCACGCACGCGCTCCTACCCCATATCCCAGTGGGAGGCCGCCTCTCTCTATTCCTGCCGGAATGGGAGAAGGCTACCAACAACGCTTGGGTGCTGGCCACGGTCAGCATAGGCCATTTACCACTGTGGAAGCGAGGTCCGCCCGACTTCACCGGCATACGTCGCACTCCGGTGCCGTCATGTCAAGCCAGGGCGGACATATTGCGCGACGAAGTTCAGGCTCTGCTGGACAAGTCCGCAATCGAGCGCATTCCACCGGGAGAGGAACAGGCGGGATTTTACTCCACGTACTTCCTCGTCCCGAAGAAAGACGGCGGGTTCCGTCCGATTCTCAACCTCAAGGGGTTGAATCGCATGCTAGAAGTACCATCCTTCAAGATGGAGACACTGCGCTCGGTGATCTCATCTGTTCAGCCCGGCGATTGGCTCACGTCAATCGACCTAAAGGATGCGTATCTGCATGTACCAATACATCCATCGTTCAAGCAGTACCTTCGGTTCTCTTACGACGGGATGTGTTACCAATTCAGGGTGCTCCCCTTCGGCATATCGACTGCCCCAAGGGTGTTCACCAAGCTCATGTTAGTCCCAGCTACCCTAGCTCGTTCGCAAGGAAGGCCTTGTTACCCTTACCTAGACGACTGGTTGCTCGGAGCACTAACTCAGCCAGCGAGTCTAGATGCTACTCACACAGTGATAGACATTCTAACTCGACTGGGGTGGATCATCAACCTCAAGAAATCCGACCTGGTACCCACCCAGGACTTGGTTTTTCTTGGAGCGCGATTCCAAACGAACAAGGATCTCGTTTCCTTGTCGCCCGACCGGATCACCAGAGTTCGGGAGATGGTATCTTCATTCCTCTCCCAGCCCCAGGCACCAGCACGGACTTGGCTCCGTCTACTGGGCCATATGGCGGCGACGATCTCTGTAGTGTGGCGGGCGCGGTTGAGGATGCGTCCTATACAGCAAGCTTTGGCTCGGCTGTGGACTCACACGGAGGATCTGGAGCGCAGTCTCACAGTCCCCGAGTGGTTGACACCTCACCTTCAGTGGTGGACAAATGTCGGGAATCTCACCAGGGGGATCCCCTTGGAAATCCCGACGCCAGCTCTCACAGTTCAGACCGATGCGTCCCTCACGGGCTGGGGGGGTGTTCTGGGCAGTCTGTCGGCGTCCGGACTCTGGTCCGAAGCCGAAGCCCACCTTCACATCAACGTGTTGGAACTGAGAGCTGTGCGGTTGGTATTCGAGCGCTTCAGAGAGCATGTCCGTGGCCAGGTAGTCCGTCTTCAGTTGGACAACCAGACGGCCATGTCGTACATCCTGAAGCAGGGAGGCACGGTGTCCCCAGCGCTCCTCCGGGAGGCGTGGGACTTTCTCCTCTGGTGCGATCAGTGCGACTGTCAGGTACTCCCTGTTTATCTCCCGGGGCTGGAGAACGTGCGAGCAGATGCGCTCTCTCGCCGGATCCTGGCCCCGCACGAGTGGATGCTCGACAGGCAGATTTTCAGAGTAATCTCCCAGTTGTACGGGTCGTTCCAGGTGGATCTGTTTGCGTCCGGCGGGACGCATCAGACACCCGTGTTCTGCTCTCGGATACCGGACCCAGGGGCGTTGGCTGCCGACGCCTTCCTGCTGGATTGGACGGGCAAAGTGCTCTGGGCGTTCCCGCCGTTACCACTCATTCCCCGTGTCCTTTCACAGCTGTCCACCCAGCCAGCTCGGCTACTTGTGCTACTGGCACCGCTTTGGCCGTCACAGAGCTGGTTTCCGGTAATTCTCAGGTTTCTGGCTCAGCCTCCTGTTCTATTACCTTTACGACCGGACATTCTCACTCAGAACGGAGCGCCCCACCCAAATCCACGGATTCAGTGGGTGGCTTGGCCTCTGTCAGGTCTAACCTCGAGGCACGCGGAATTCCTGCAGCAGTTGCAGACACAATTCTGGCTTCGAGGCGGGATTCGACAAACGTTCAGTACGAGGATAGGTGGTCCCGCTTATGCGCGCTGGTGTTCAGATAGGGCATTGCAGATCCCTTTCTGCGGATTTAGTCCGAGTATTGGAGTTTTTGCAAGCTCGTTTGGAAGAAGGCCTGGCGGCTTCGACCATTCGTGGCTACTCCACCGCTATTTCCACTTTTCACACCCCTGTCGATGGTGCTCTTCTGGGGCAGCACCCTCTCGTACAGCGCTTTCTTGCTGGCGCGGAACGGATTCGACCTGCGCCAGGCGGCGAACCAGTCCACCTTGGGATTTGTCAATTGTGCTAGATTGGCTGTCCGGTCCAACTTTCTCACACCTATCGGCTATTTCCATTCAGTTGTTAACTTGGAAAGCTGTTTTTCTGGTGGCGGTAACATCTGGACGTAGGGTCGGCGATTTACATGCTATGTCGTCCGACCCGGCGCTGACTGTGTTTCACACGGATCGTGTCAGTATTCGCCTCCCAGATACTTACCGACCGAAGGTCGATCACGCTTTCCATGTGACAGCTCCTATCGAACTTCCTACTCTTACCCAGCCTTCCACATCGGGGACCACTCCTACGAGCACTCACCCGTTGGATGTCCGTAAGACGCTCAAAGTCTATATCAAACGAACGCAGGGAATCCGTACGGGTACCCAGCTGTTCTGTTGTTACGGTGGCGGGAAGGCTGGTGTGCCAGCGAGCAAGCAGACTTTGTCTCGCTGGCTAGTTTCGTGTATTTGTGCCGCTTATCAGGCTAAGGGCAAGCCTCCCCCTGAGGGGTTGAAGGCTCACTCGGTCAGGGCAGTAGCCGCATCAAAAGCTTTTGCATCGGCACTCCCCATTGAAGAGATCTGCTCTGCCGCTATTTGGAGCCGGCCAAGCACGTTTATACGGCACTATCAGCTCGATACACATTCCCGTAATCGTGCGAGCTTTGGCCGTTCTGTTCTCTCCAGTGGACAGTGTCCTGCCACCCTGACCGAGTGAGTCTTGGTTTATTGGTTTGTTTTGACGCTGCTGTACAATAATTGCGTATTATTGACATATCTGCTACTGTGAGCTAACTACATGTACCCCCTTTTGATTCTCTCAGGAGTTATTTGTCGATTGTGAGCGGTATTTACATTCCCCCCTACGGTGCTCACTAATAGACACATGGTGGGTGGGGCTTTGTTGACATTCGCACCACGTGCGTTGTCTCACTATGCTAAATGGAGGTCGTCTTTGAGCACAATTCCTCCCTGTCAGTTCCCCTCCCATAATGCCTCTCGCGGAAGCGCAACTGGGACAAGTGACAGGTGAGTGTTATGGCGTCTGTTCAATTTTTTTCCATGATACGATCGCTATATTTTGTGTGTGCTTGGACAGAATTCCCTCCTCCCTGGCCTCCGGTCTTTGGGAGTCTGTGTTTATGCATAATATGTACCCCAAGGACGATCTCTTTGAAGAAGAATTAACCAAACCTGAAGAGGTTTTCAATTCTTCGAAGAGAGTCGTCCTTGGGGTAGGGCCTCCCGCCTCCCCGCAATTCTGTTCACTGATATATTCAGCAGAAGGAATGATGATACGGGTCTAGGAGCCTACCCAGTTGGTGCGCATGCGCAACGGGAGGTAACTCCGTGAGGTAGGGGCCGTATAATAAATAAAAGAGTTTATTTATTGTTCAATCTTTTTATTCAAAAAACATTGATACAACTGTCACAGGACATTTTTCAGCCGGAAAATGCATAATATGTACCCCAAGGACGACTCTCTTCGAAGAATTGAAAACCTCTTCAGGTTTGGTTAAATTTACTGAGCGAGAAGCGTATGTAAACAAATGAAGAGATAGAGACATGTGACAGCTGTGATTGGATGAAATAGTGTAAGATGTTTATGTTTTTTAAAAGCATATCCAACCAGCAATTAAAACTGACCACAGTTTTAAGTATTCAGTGCTGTCATTTTCATCACCATGACATATGCTTATTGTGTGCACAGATATTTTCAAGTAGGTGACATTTGGTGCGGAACTGGGGTTGATGTGTTCTGCTTCCTGTCCTCGCAAAACAAGCCGGACAAGTTGGCCTGATATTGTTTTATTTTAGTTTAAAGGCCAGAGTGTACCCATGTGTACATGGAATGGCTGTTGATAGCTTGTCTATTTTAAAAAAAATGATAAGGTTACTATAGAAGTCTATGGGAAAACATTTGGTGGTGTGTAACCTCAAGTCAACGGTGGGGCCCAGAGTCTCCCCCTCTCTCGTAGTCAGCTAACAAAAGATTCTCATAACAATTTTTGGCTCCTCCCCCAGAAATACTGTCCTACACCATATAAAAATGACTCATAACCCATCTGACTAATAAGTTACTTTCATTAGTCCCTTTTCAAATAACTCATATTCAAGCTGCACCACTAACTACAATCATTTCCTCTCTTCCAAGACTTAATCGGTACCATCAATTTCTTCCATCATAAATGTACTTTATTAGTGAGCTTAAATCATTCGTGAAGCATTCTTTGGTCAAAATCTGCAGAAATCTTCGAATCGCTTAGACTGGTTCCCATTTATTCCTGGGACAGACTGGAACATTGCTTGGTTCTCAGGTCCCACAGTGCGCTGTATTGTCGTATGTTGCGATATGAGAGACGGGACCCAGCTTTGGACGATCGAATGCAGCGACACCAAGCGGAAGATCCAGTCTGCGAATCAAAATGGCCACCATGCATGAAGGTTTCGGAGATTTCTTGCCAAATCACGATCGGTCATGTGCGGTACTACCAAGTGTCAGGCAAGAGAAACTGATGCAGTTTGTGCATTAGGTAATGTACCATTATTGTCTAACGATTTAGATTGGTAAGAATGCTTAACAACGGTTCCTGCAAGAGTTGAACGATCAGCTGATGTGGTACTGTTGTCTTGGCGAGAGGTGGCTGGACATTATCTACCACACCCGGCTACACATAGTTATCCAACCCGAATCATTAGCCCTAAGACCCTTTCTCCCATCATCTGATATAGTCAGAGTAGGGGAGGGTCAGGGATGTTGTTGCAGTTGGTGGAGGATGCACCAGTTATTGACGTTGTGCTTGGTTATTGATATTATGTCATCTCTTGAAGATTGTGTGCCAGTATCTTAAAACAACCACACTTGTTAACATCATACAACCGTAGTTATCAGAAGTACAAAATTACTCCATTACTTTACCATGTTTGCTTCTCTAAATAAACTGCGGTTGTTGTTTTCTTTACTTTGGATTTAACTTTTCATGTTTTCTGTATTCCACGGTCAATGCATCCAGAAAGTAAGCTAACTTGAGTTTTGGATAAGTTCATTTGCTCTGGTTAATGGTAACATATTGATATTGTTGAAAAAACTGGGTTGTTGCAATACTTTTTTCCATGTGTATGTACAGTGTGCAGAAACAAATGAGCAACACTTGTTCCATTCATGTATTAGCGGTCTGAGATTTGTATAAACGTATGTAAATAATATTTACTCCCGAAACTTAGGGTACTTGTTTCTTCTTCCAAGTTGATATCAAAAATGTTAAATTTATTGTGCTTGTTCCTCCATCAGTTTTGCAGGGTGTCCAGGAACACCTGGTGTCCCAGTGCACCACAGTCATCAAAGAAGTTGGGCTGCATCAAACGTGCACTGCAGGTTGGTCTGTTTCGGAAGAGTGTTTACTCCAGTAATACAAAAAGGTGGTGCTGTCATATTTCTGGAATATTGCTCACTGATAGAAAGACCGACATGGTCACATAACAACTCAACAGTCATGTCAGTAGTCACATGACAACATGATACAGTCATGTCAGTAGTCACATGACAACTCAACACAGTCATGTCAGTAGTCACATAACAACTCAACACAGTCATGTCAGTAGTCATATGACAACATGATACAGTCATGTCAGTAGTCATATGACAACATGATACAGTCATGTCAGTAGTCACATAACTCTACACAGTCATGTCAGTAGTCACATGACAACAAGAAACAGTCATGTCAGTAGTCACATAACAACTGAACACAGTCATGTCAGTAGTCACATGACAACACAATACAGTCATGTCAGTAGTCACATAACTCGTCAGTCATGTCAGTAGTCACATGACAACTCAACACAGTCATGTCAGTAGTCATATGACAACACAGTCATGTCAGTAGTCACATGATAACACGAAACAGTCATGTCAGTAGTCACATAACAACTGAACACAGTCATGTCAGTAGTCACATGACAACACTATACAGTCATGTCTGTAGTCACATAACTCAACACAGTCATGTCAGTAGTCACATAACAACACGATACAGTCATGTCTGTAGTCACATAACAACTCAACATTCATTTCAGTAGTCACATGACAACACGACACAGTCATGTCAGTAGTCACATGTCAACACAATACAGCCATGTCAGTAGTCACATAACTCAACACAGTCATGTCAGTAGTCACATGACAACACGATACAGTCATGTCAATAGTCATATGACAACTCAACACAGTCGTGTCAGTAGTCACATGACAACTCAACACAGTCATGTCAGTAGTCATATTACAACACGACACAGTCATGTCAGTAGTCACATGACAACTCAACACAGTCGTGTCAGTAGTCACATGACAACTCAACACAGTCATGTCAGTAGTCACATAACTCAACACAGTCATGTCAGTAGTCACATGACAACTCAACACAGTCATGTCAGTAGTCACATGACAACTCAACACAGTCATGTCAGTAGTCACATAACTCAACACAGTCATGTGAGTAGTCATATGACAACACAGTCATGTCAGTAGTCACATTCCAACTCAACACAGTCGTGTCAGTAGTCACATGACAACACAATACAGTCATGTCAGTTGTCACATAACTCTACTCAGTCATGTCAGTAATCACATGACAACACAAAACAGTCATGTCAGTAGTCACATAACTCAACACAGTCATGTCAGTAGTCACATGACAACTCAACACAGTCATGTCAGTAGTCATGTCAACACGTAGTCATGTCAGTAGTCAACATGAACAACAGTACAGTCATGTCAGTAGTCACATAACAACTCAACACAGTCATGTCAGTAGTCACATGACAACACAAAACAGTCATGTCAGTAGTCACATAACAAGTCAACACAGTCATGTCAGTAGTGACATGACAACACAATACAGTCATGTCAGTAGTCACATAACAACTCAACACAGTCATGTCAGTAGTCACATGACAACTCAACACAGTCATGTCATGTCAGTAGTCACATGACAACTTGAACACTGACATGTCAGTAGTCATATGACAACACGATACAGTCATATGACAACATAATCAGTCATGTCAGTAGTCATATGACAACATAATACAGTCATGTCAGTAGTCATATGACAACACAATACAGTCATGTCAGTAGTCACATAACAACTCAACACAGTCATGTCAGTAGTCACATGACAACTCAACACAGTCATGTCAGTAGTCACATAACAACTCAACACAGTCATGTCAGTAGTGATATGGAAACACAGTCATGTCAGTCAGTCATCCACAACATGTCAACATTGTCATGTCAGTAGTCACATGACAACACAATACAGTCATGTCAGTAGTCACATAACTCAACACAGTCATGTCAGTAGTCACATGACAACTCAACACAGTCATGTCAGTAGTCACATGACAACACGACACAGTCATGTCAGTAGTCACATGACAACTCAACACAGTCATGTCAGTAGTCACACACAACAAACACGAAAGAGTCATGTCAGTAGTCACATGACAACACAATACAGTCATGTCAGTAGTCACATAACAACACAATACAGTCATGTCAGTAGTCACATGACAACTCAACACAGTCATGTCAGTAGTCACATAACAACTCAACAGTCATGTCAGTAGTCACATGACAACACAATACAGTCATGTCAGTAGTCACATAACAACTCAACATAGTCATGTCAGTAGTCACATGACAACACATACAGTCATGTCAGTAGTCATATGACAACTCAACACAGTCATGTCAGTAGTCACATGACAACTCAACACAGTCATGTCAGTAGTCACATGACAACTCAACACAGTCATGTCAGTAGTCACATTACAACACAACACAGTCATGTCAGTAGTCACATGACAACTCAACACAGTCATGTCAGTAGTCACATGACAACTCAACACAGTCATGTCAGTAGTCACATAACTCAACACAGTCACATGTCATGTAGTCACATGACAACTCATGACAACAACACAGTCATGTCAGTAGTCACATGACAACTCAACACAGTCATGTCAGTAGTCACATAACTCAACACAGTCATGTCAGTAGTCATATGACAACACAGTCATGTCAGTAGTCACATTCCAACTCAACACAGTCATGTCAGTAGTCACATGACAACACAATACAGTCATGTCAGTAGTCACATAACTCTAACACAGTCATGTCAGTAGTCACATGACAACACAACACAGTCATGTCAGTAGTCACATAACTCAACACAGTCATGTCAGTAGTCACATGACAACTCAACACAGTCATGTCAGTAGTCACATGACAACAGAATACAGTCATGTCAGTAGTCACATAACTCAACACAATCATGTCAGTAGTCACATGACAACACAAAACAGTCATGTCAGTAGTCACATAGCAAGTCAACACAGTCATGTCAGTAGTGACATGACAACACGATACAGTCATGTCAGTAGTCACATAACTCAACACAGTCATGTCAGTAGTCACATGACAACTCAACACAGTCATGTCAGTAGTCACTTGACAACTTGACACTGACATGTCAGTAGTCATATGACAACACGATACAGTAATGTCAGTAGTCATATGACAACATAATACAGTCATGTCATTAGTCATATGATAACACGATACAGTCATGTCAGTAGTCACATAACAACTCAACACAGTCATGTCAGTAGTTACATGACAACTCAACACAGTCATGTCAGTAGTCACATAACAACTCAACACAGTCATGTCAGTAGTGATATGGAAACACAGTCATGTCAGTAGTCACATCCCAACTCAACATTGTCATGTCAGTAGTCACATGACAACACAATACAGTCATGTCAGTAGTCACATAACTCAACACAGTCATGTCAGTAGTCACATTCCAACTCAACAGTCATGTCAGTAGTCACATGACAACACGAAAGAGTCATGTCAGTAGTCACATTCCAACTCAACAGTCATGTCAGTATTGTCACATGACAACACGAAAGAGTCATGTCTGTAGTCCCATGACAACACGATACAGTCATGTCAGTAGTCACATAACAACACAATACAGTAATGTAAGTAGTCACATAACTCAACACAGTCATGTTAATAGTCACATAACAACTCAACAGTCATGTCAGTATTGTCACATGACAACACGAAAGAGTCATGTCTGTAGTCCCATGACAACACGATACAGTCATGTCAGTAGTCACATAACAACTCAAGACAGTCATGTCAGTAGTCACATGACAACTCAACACAGTCATGTCAGTAGTCACATAACAACTCAACACAGTCATGTCAGTAGTCACATGACAACTCAACACAGTCATGTCAGTAGTCACATAACTCAACACAGTCATGTCAGTAGTCACATGACAACTCAACACAGTCATGTCAGTAGTCACATAAGCAAGTCAACACAGTCATGTCAGTAGTCACATGACAACACAATACAGTCATGTCAGTAGTCACATAACAACTCAACACAGTCATGTCAGTAGTCACATAACTCAACACAGTCATGTCAGTAGTCACATGACAACTCAACACAGTCATGTCAGTAGTGATATGAAAACACAGTCATGTCAGTAGTCACATAACTCAACACAGTCATGTCAGTAGTGATATGAAACACACAGTCATGTCAGTAGTGATATGAAAACACAGTCATGTCAGTAGTCACTTTCCAACTCAACATTGTCATGTCATTAGTCACATAACAACTCAAGAGTCATGTCAGTAGTCACATAACTCAACACAGTCATGTTAATAGTCAACTAACAACTCAACAGTCATGTCAGTATTGTCACATGACAACAAGAAAGAGTCATGTCTGTAGTCAGATGACAACACGATACAGTCATGTCAGTAGTCACATAACAACTCAATACAGTCATGTCAGTGGTCACATGACAACTCAACACAGTCATGTCAGGAGTAATCACATAACAACTCAACACAGTCATGTCAGTAGTCACATTCCAACTCAACATTGTCATGTCAGTAGTGACATGACAACACAATACAGTCATGTCAGTAGTCACATAACAACTCAACACAGTCATGTCAGTAGTCATATAACTCAACACAGTCATGTCAGTAGTCACATAACTCAACACAGTCATGTCAGTAGTCACATGACAACTCAACACAGTCATGTCAGTAGTCACATGACAACTCAACACAGTCATGTCAGTAGTAGTCATATGACAACACGATACAGTCATGTCAGTAGTCATATGACAACATCAACACAGTCATGTCAGTAGTCACATGACAACACAACACAGTCATGTCAGTAGTCACATGACAACTCAACACAGTCATGTCAGTAGTCACATGACAACTCAACACAGTCATGTCAGTAGTCACATACAACTCAACACAGTCATGTCAGTAGTCACATGACAACTCAACACAGTCATGTCAGTAGTCACATGACAACTCAACACAGTCATGTCAGTAGTCACATGACAACACAA